AAAAAATGGATTTACTATATATTTAGTTTCTTATAAAAATATATGCTCATTCTAGTGGGGCCCATTGCTGTTCATTTTGCTCTCTTCAACTATATTTGAGGTTATCAGAAAAGATATACGTCGAAGACCAAAGTTTCACACATAGCTAATGGCTAGTTAAGTTAGTCAAACAACAACGGCATGACTACGCATGTTATAAAGTGTGTGATCTACAAAATCATGAGACAAGTTTTGGGAGGCGGTGGTAGGTTGTGTTAGTGAGGTGGTTAGAAGAAGATTTCATGTCATTCTCATTTAGTGGTTTGGTGAACACTTATTAATCATTTGATATGTCTGTTCCTTTAATTTTGCATGCAATTATTCAACATCCTTCACATATCTCTCACCTCCCTCATTCTGCATGAAATCTATGATTCTGTTTGGTATGAAGCATCAAAGATAAGGGATAAGGATTGAAATTAGGATTAAAAAAATCTACTAAAAGAGTATTTAGCATAAAAAATTACTTGTCACGTGGGATTAAATAAATCTATGTATGTGGGATTGGAAAATACCATGAGAAGAAGTGATATTTTCCCATCCTACTTTCATGAATTTGCCTAATCCTATATAATAAACAATTACACATGCTAAACATTTTTTTAATGATTTGTCTCAATTATAATCCCCGTCTTTATTCTTTATTTTCAATACTTCGTACCAAATAGGATCTTTGGGTACATTGAATCCAATTGACGGTTTCATGAAATCCATATTTGTAAATTAGGAGAAAATAATTAAGGATCTTACTTATTATACTTTTTCATGTTATTTAAATTAAAATGCTTTTATCTCTTTTATATTTGAGTAAATTAAAGTCATCAACCTTTTTATGTTATTTCACAGTTACATTCAGCAGTCTCATGTTGTTCAGTATGATGATCTTATTTATAATATATCTAGTACAATAAAATTGAGCTACTGGATGTAAGTAGACAACAATATCAAAAGATGCTGGATGAACTAAAGAAATAATATTTGAGTGTTGAATGCATCATAAATAAGATTGGGATACTAGATACCTTAATTTAAATTTAGATGCTACTAAATTATCCTTCCTGTTTTACTTCAATTACATATATTTTTCATCTACTCTAAGAACATGTACATTAGTTCACCGCGGAGAAATTCCTAAAATATTCTGAAAATAATATTTATTAATTGAAAATACAGATAAAGTAAAACCTTGAAGGAGCCACGTGCCTTGGTTGAGAGCCACCGACTTATCAATCCCGTCTTTGAGATGAAGAACATGAAAATTATGCTCCTGTGTAAGATAGGTGGGCGCCGATGGAATAATACTTTTTGGCTTGTTTGTTTAGTAAAAATTGGGTATAACATTTAATATAAAGAGTCAGATGAATTATAATAAATTATTTTTAAATTATGATATATCGTTTGGGTACGATACCACACCAAATGTACCTATAATTAAATCCTAATCCGAAATATGAAAATATTTTGTCATTAAATCACGTAAAGAAAGGGATCAGAAAAAAATTAAACAACGAATAATGATGGATGAAAGCAAATTATTATCTCATTCGTGAATACAAGAGAGCATGCAAAACCACTCGTTCAAACTTAATGAGAGAAAGCCACCCATATATGCACTGCGTCCGGATACATCTTGCACTTTTTTAATTTGCCAAAGCTGACAACATTCATCTTATTTTCTTGGTCCGTAAAAAAAGCTCTCTACTGTTCCAAATTAAAGCCAATGCATTTGGTATGCCTCCATGTCTTGAATCAAAACAAAATAACACATTCCATGAATCTACAACTCCACACACACATACATATTCTTTCATCACCCATATGTAGAATAATACTATCTCCAATCCTTAATATAAAATCTACATAACTAACTAAAAATATTAAAAAAAAGTAGTTAAGTTTATTATTGGAAACAAATATGTATTCACTTTCCTAAATTAGCCTCGTTAATCAGATGCATTAGAACTAGCTCTTAGTAGGAATCCGTTACAATCAATAGAATATTTTGGAAAGAAAATTTATAAATTTGAAAAGTAAAGTAAATTATATTGAGGCCTTATGTTTAAGATTAAGAGGGTGTTTGGATATTTCTTCAAACCATGGTTTTGAGAAAAAATTATCCAAACACCACATTTTTTCTCAAAATCACTTTTAAATTTTGAACCATGGTTTGAATAAGAGCAACCAAACACCTTAATTTTTTTGCAAAATCACTTTTAATTTGAAAACCATGGTTTTGGGATAAAACCATGGTTTTCCATGAAGTGAATTTTTTTGCTTTTGAAGGTATAAAACCATGGTTTTGGATATAAAAATATATACACATATCAATTACTACCTTCAATCCTTAATATAAGAGCTAGATAACTAATTTGTCAATATTAAGAAAATTGGTTAAATTATTTATTTAAAATAAATAGGTGTTGTATTCTCTCAAATACTTGTTAATGATATGCATTGAGACTACTATTTAATAGAACCTTTAACATGTGCAAATTAACATGAGGACTATTTTAAAAAATAGATAAATGTGTGGGACAAAACGATTAGTATCTTATATTCAAAATCAAATTGAATATCCCATTAGCTCTTATACTAAGGACTGGAGGTAATATTACTTAATTATATTTTTTTCATATATCATTTATTATTTACAAATTATTATTTCAAAAAAATGAATTAAAATATATTTTAATCTAATTATCATATTAACTTATGTCATTTTTAGTAATTTGCATAGGAAAAAAAAGATTCTGATAACAACTATCCAAATATTCTCACTTTATCAAAATCACTTTTTTCAAAATCTATTCTCAAAATCTATTCTCCAAACCATAATTTGGTTCTATCCAAACACCCCTAAATCCAATCCAGACTAGCTAAGGATAGGAGGTAGTAATGAAATGTGAGGATCCTTTGGAATCAAAACCAAACCCTAACAAAGTAATCAATAGAAGCGACGATGGTGGATTTGGGAGCAGGGATGGAAGCAGGCCAGGCTGCCTGTAGCCTAGTCTGGCCTGGTTCTTAAAAAAAAGTAGGCCTATGTCTGTTTAAAGGCTTGTTTAGCTTAATAGACTAGGCTTAGGCTTTCTGATAAGCATGTTAAGCCTGTTAGGCTGACCTGGCCTATTATAAATTTACAATTATAATATATGAAAAAATTAGTTAAGGCTACTATTATTAATGTGCTCTTTTAATTTATTTTTTAATTTTAATACATAGTTAATGGCTTCATGTTTTCTTGGATTTTGAAGTTTAATTGATAAGTAAAAATATAATTTAAAATAATAATATCAATAAATAATGTGATCTTTAAATTTGTCATTTTTTTTCCTATTTATTCGTCTTGATTTTAATTTTTCATTTTGTACTTAAACATAGTCTTGTCCCAAGTTTTAACATACAATTGCAACCAGCTTTCAATAATATCCTTTTTAATTATAATTAAGATTTAAAATGTGACACTAAAATTTAAATAAAAGACGGGACTAAAAATGTAATTATTATGTAGGCTTTTTTTTTTAAATATCACTATGTAATTTGAATTTTTTTTAAAATACAGGTTTTTTAATAGGTTTCAGGCCATACCAGGCCTTTATATAGGTTAGGCTGATAAGTCTGTAACAGGTTACAGGTCAGGTTTAGGTTGATATGCTATAAAACAAGTATGGCTTCTTAAGAGTAAAGCCTGACTTGTTTTCACCCCTACTTAAGAACACGATATCTATGTGCACGCACGTGTATTGGAATAAATGCATTCATATTTACAATGATGGTGTCATCTAACTTCTTTGAAGAGTAATTAGCGAAACATACTGGTCCATTACAGGTCCCAACCACAAAGAAATTAAAATCATATTCTTGTTTCAATGGGAATTTATGAAAATGGAGACGTATATATATATGGTCTGAATACCATGAGAGAAATAACACTGTACCATTGCTAATTGACGACACTGAAGAAATAATACTACGCACTATATAAATAGTTGATGAGATGAGATTGTATGAAGAACTTATCATTAATAGAGATCAGACTTCCAACGAATGACCTTTATTGTCCTGTAATTATACTCCAAATATATCTTGAAGCTTCGCAATTGGAAAAACCTTATTGGCATTCTAGCAGCTTGTAATAATTACTTACTCCTCATTTTTGTCCTTTTTCAGGGATAGATGATACGTTTCTGCTTTAGAAGTGGTAAATTAAAGGTAATAGTTATATTAAGTTCTTTATGTCTACTGTGTTAAATTTTCTAATCACACTTGACCATGTATATTATTTTGGAAATACAATGTCTAGTTCTTAATATAATAGCTAGTTGCCTAATTTAAGTGGATTAGAAAAATTAATTAAGTTAGTTATTTGTAATGATTAGGTGTTATTTTTTCTAAAATGCCCTCGCTAATCAAGTCATTTAACACGTGCAATTACTATAAGAATTACTTTGAGAAAAATGGAGAAACATGAGAGACAAAATGGATTGAGGTCTTACATTTAGGATCAAATTAAAAGTCAAACAAACTCTTATATTAAGGACCAGGGATAGTATTAATATTTAATAGTATTTAATTACAAACTCATATGAAACATTAGGATACATGACTATATGTGATTATAGAGAACTTGACATAGTGGATATAGGGAACTTGATCTAAGCATTTTTCGTAAATTAAATATCAGCATTCTCTTGTTATTTATTACTTTTTAAAGATAAATATTTTATGAATGATATCGAAACACCTAAAAGAAAAAGGTAAAAATTCACGCATAGACGAAACATTAACAATAAATAGCCCTCATCATAATTTGATAAAATAAATAGTAGTACATGGGGAATTCAGAAAATGCATATATCATCTTCGACACTTTAACAGGGTATACAGACCTCAATCTTAGGTATATAGTGTGTATATCAGTATATGTGTGAGTGAAAGGGAAATAATAGTGAGGAAAAGTTTCAGGCTTTTGAGAAGTTACGGCCAGGAGTAGTCCATGAGTATATCTCAGGAGGGATTGTGCCATTTGTGAGCAAGTTCTGAGGCATTCCATACAAATCTGAGGCATCAAGGTGGTGATGATGAAGATGATGATGATGATGGCTTCGACCATTGTTCTGGTAATGCTGATTCTGAGCAATGATCTCGTCGTCCTCCATTAATGGAAGACGATCAAAGGTAGCATTCATGAACGAAGCAGCCATAATCACCACAGGACCTGAAGCAACCAGGGCACCCACCACAGCACCACCCACAACCTGCCCTTGAGCTCCGGCAAGGTAAATGGTCAGTCCGGTGATCCCCGGCGGAGCCGGCGGCGGCAGGATTGAACCCAGAAGGGAGAGAATCTCAAACCTACCATGAAGCGTCACTGTTGCACCAGAAGAAGCTAACTGGCGCAGTGTTACATTTGTGACACAACCAGTTCCGCTGAGTATGCAAATCCCTCTCTGCTTCCTTCTTGCAAAGTTGACCAAACTTTCATTGATATCACACCCAGAAGTCACTTCCAGTGCATGAGCTTTCAGGGCATTAGCACTATCCCTAGTCACAATAATGGGTGGCTTTGGCTTGTTCTTGGATCCGGCCGGCCGGCCACGAGGTCGCCGGACGGTTTCTTCCTGATCAGCTGCGAAAGAAACTGGAGAAACAGCTTTTGGGATGTCAATATTGCTCGGCCTAGTTTCATTCATCATCCCCTTATCTTGTTCTTGATCCCTTTCCATTATTTTATCTAATACAAAGTATGGAATACTATGGATGCTAGCAAATTTCGGAGTTTTCATTAGTTGGAAGCTTAAGTAGTGAGTTTGTAATGATTATTATCGTTTAGTTTAATGTTAGATCCCAAAAGAATGAATGCTGTTTTAGGAAGGAGTTAAGTAGCACCAACCCCATCACAAATCATTGTTTAATTCATTCCCTCTCACTGCCTAACCCTGACTAAACTTTGCATCATGTCTATTGCCTTCCTCAACAGATACCTCTCGTAGCACACACACACACACACACACACACACATTCCTCAACACAATTAAATTCATCATTAAAGCAATAAGTTACATGGACATTAACGTACACGCGCAATGTATGAGAATGTTTTAATTAACTATGTTTAGAAATATGTAACAAAAACATAACAACGAACACTAACAACAAAAGAGGATCGGAGTGCAACGCGAGAGTAGATAGTGTTTCAAGCCAAAAAAAAAAGGAACTCAAAACAAAACCTTTGTGCTTTGTTGTAAACAGGGTTTGCCTTCAGATCACGATGCGTTTCTGCAGAATGTATATATGTATGCCGCATCTTTTAGTGGTAATCTGCCCCAATGTAAAACTTGTACTAGCTCATGAGCAATAAGCTAGCTTGTTTTGGTGAAGTCTTGTGATAACTCATTTTTCAATACAAGACTAAATAGCATAAAAGCAGGCCTCAGAGAAAGTCCTACCCTAAGACATCCACCATCTCACAAACCCAAGAATGTAATTCAGAGAGAGAGAGAGGAAAACAGATCATACATAGCGATTGAGAGCTGGAAGCGTGCTTGATGAGCTGAAGAAGGAGGAAGAAGGAGCCATTTAATTTGATTCATCTTGACACAGGCATGAACAATAATCATCTTCTCCTTTTAGCCTTTATTGGTTTATTTGCTATTGAAGCTTTGTGTGAACGTTAATTCCTGTTTTCCCCTCACATTGCGAGCGATTCGGTTGCAAGTACTCTTTGTATGACTTGCTTCATTAATTTACATATGGGTCCCTGCTGGGAGGGACTCTTTCTTGTTAATTACAGTTAACAATAATACTACCTCCGGTCCTAATTATAAACGAAGTCTTATAATTAAGACCAGAGATAGTATGTGATTTTCAATTTAGTTTCAATGCAAAGTTTTTTGAATGATTTAATTATATATGGTTCTTATTATTGGGTGTTGTCATCACACCACTACTTACTTTGTCATTAAGGGAGTAGTTAGATGAAAACCAAATCATAGTTTTAAAAGTTCTTTTGCTGTATATGAAATAAATATGTAAAAGAATTTAACTCATTTTGTGAAAAAAATTACTTTTTAAAAACTTTTATATGTTGCCAAATACCTCCTAGATTTACTTCAGCACTAGGTTTCATGCTGGATCGTGGCATGCATTGGATCCTGAAGTGGACCTAAAGGTACTCGGACTCATCACAGTGGTGACCCTTTCTTCCCCTTTCTAGGTTACTGACGGGCGTTGATCCCTGCCTCTCAATTTCGGGGTCCTTACCAAATTTTTTCCCTTAAATTTCTTTTTATCCTTCGATTCTACGTAAAATAAGTAATATTTTGATATGTTATTAACAAAAAATACTTCAATATAATTTTCAATTTTTCATGTAATATTGACCCTTTCTCTGTGTGAAAACTGAGTATTAAGATTGTATTCATTCCATTTTCAAGATCACTCTTCCTTTTGTTTTTAACCTAAAGACAAAAATTGCCTTTTCTATACTTAATTGGATTTGATGGTTTTCTGTGATGTTAAAAAAGGAAAACATAGAGATGCAACGTTAGAAAAAAACTTCACAAAAATCATATCAATTTCTAGACAACTTAAATTTTATTAAAAGAAGTTACGTAACGTTGTAAGCAAATAATAAAAAGATTCAAAAAAAAAATGGCAGGGAGGTAAAACAAAATAATTTTGTAAAAGAAATCACTACGAGATTCATATACACTACTACAAAAAAGAGTTTTCACGACGCTAATTTACGGCGGTTATTTGAAAAAACGTTGTAAAAAATATGACGGTGGCATTTCTGTAATTATAGGCGGACTTTTTACGGCGGTTATTTAAAAAACCGCCGTAAAAAAATACTTTTAACGGCGGTTTTTTAAAAAACCGCCGTAAAAAGTCTCAGAATTTTAAAATCCAACGCGCGATATTTTTCACTTTTCAGAGTCAGAGCTCATAGTCCCCCATATCATCCTCACTCTGTTTTCTCCCTCCCCCTACATTTATCGATGTTTATCCATTGCTTCTATCATTTCCGCCATGTTCTTCCATCATCGTCGCTGTTGCTGTTGCTGTTGCTGTTACCGTTGCCGTCGCCATCGCCTCATCCTCTTCGTTCTTATTTGTGAGTTTTTCACCTCCATTCTTTTCGTGGATTTCATAGTTTTGTGGTTTGATATGATTATTTTCTTTGGTTCAAAATATGATGTTTAATCTGAGTTTAAAGAGATCTGATTTTTAGCATATCTGAGTCTTTGATTTTATCAGATCTGAGTCTTTGATTTTATCTTTATGAAATCTTAGTTGCTTCAATTTGGTGGCTGAAGGTGAAGCTAAGTGACGCTATTACTCCATCAGAATGCTTTTAACTGGTGAGAGATTTCCTTTGAAGCTTTGTTCTCCCGTTCCATCTTGATCAGTAGGGTGAAACGTAGTCTAAAAAAAAAAAAAATTTTCACGGCGGTTATTTATATAACCGCCGTTAAAAGTCACATATCACGGCGGTTTAAGAACCGCCGTGAAATCCTCTATATTTTACGTCGATGGCATAGACGTCGGTCTCAAAACCGCCGTAAAAAGCTCATTTTAACCGCCGTTAAATGTATTTTTTGCAGTAGTGATAGCAGTATTAATTATCATAACTTTTATCTCATGGCACATTTCATTATTGTCTCAAGTTTTTTCTCTTTTGAATGAGAAGTGTTTGTTACTGAGGAATATTTACAAGGCGAGACAACAGAGTAGTAAGAACCCCAAGTTTTTCCTTTTAATTTGATCACTTGGCCTCTTGCTTTGTAGGTTTATAAAGCATATGGGCTGTGGCTTTAACGGCTTGTTTGGTATGAGGGGAGAGGAGAAAAGGAGAGGGATTTTGCTTGCCTCTCTTTATTTGGCTTGCTAAAATTTTCAGGAGGAAGTAAAAAACTTTTAAGATTTTTCCTCCTCTCCCCTCATTACCATCCTCTTCCAAATTGGGAAATATGGAGGGAAAATATAATATTTTAACTCGTTTTGACTAATATGTTCATAATTAATTTTTAATATCTCCATAGTATATCCTTATGATCTCACATCATGTGTGTAAGGAATGATAACAGTTATACTTTTATCAAATCACATATCAGATCATAAAAAATCTCTTCCTCCTCCTCTTTGAAAAAAAAATTAAAAAACTGGAACCACAAGATTAGTTGTCTGAAGATCCAAAGGCTTCAATATCTGCATATTCTAATGACATCTGGCAGAAAGTAGACGATCATATTGGCAGAAACAAAGAAAGAAAGTAGAGGATCATATTGCATCAGCCATCAAGATTCTGTATATAGAATAAATAAATAAATATATAACCATATTGTTAATCACATTGACTTTTTTTTTTAAAAAAAAAAAAGTGAATTAACTACATTGTTAATTATTTGATTCCGCCCATCCATGTAGATCCATAAAGGATAAGAACGTTGAAGAAATCAAATTTCACCATTAATAGGTCCCATGGGACTTCACTCCTTATCATTACCCGACATTTATAAAAGTTAAAATGAGAATGTTCACGTGCCCAAAAGAAAATTAAAATAATATACTCAGTTTGAATGGCTTACCGCTTGATGCTCGTCTTTAAATTTTTTTTTCTTTAATGATTACCAACACCATTCATATATCATCAAATAATCTATACATATAATACTTTAGTTAGAAATTGAATTTGGTCTTAAATATTAAAAATTAATGTATAACTTCATGTTATACATGATAATCTAGAGAGACTATATCATATTTATTATTATTTATTTATTTATTTAATTTTTTTTAATTCATCCAAATTGGTTAAATGGCTTTTATATTAAAGATTCGAGGAAGCAAGTTTTTCTGCTAAAGTACGGGTATCCTTTTATTAGAAGTAATTATATTTGAGGCACTATCGGGTACTAAATGTGGGTACCTCTCCCAACAAAGATTCGAATCTTGATTTGTCATGTTATGAGGAACTAGTCATTTTTGCTAGATTCAACTCTGTTAGTAGAAGAAGTAAGTTATTTGTATGGAATTCATGCTAGAAAATAGAAATAGGCAAGCCTAACCTTCCTGGGCTTCGCTCCATGAGTTATTTGTATAGGCAATCCTGAGATACTGATGTATCATCCCACATCAAGTGCTAGCATTTTTCTTGATAAAAATTCGAACATTAATTTATTACACATACGGACCTATTCCTTTTATTAGACTCAAGAAATACTTAGATAAAAATTAAATTATAGTTTTAAAAGTAGCTTTACAGTATATAAAATAAATATTAAAAAAATTATCTCGACTTATATAAAAATATTTTTTTAAATGATTCTGGGTGTCGCAAACAACCCCTCCATCTCCTTGGCAGGGAAGGTGAGAATTATTTATCTGTGTTATTTGTGAGCAAATGGACGACGATCAGAAGAGCAGACGGAAGGGACGTTTATAAGATCTGACTGGGCTGAGCTGGTTTTATATGGCTACAGCTGGGTCCAGCTTACACTTGCCTATGTCCATTGCCCACCCCTCACTTGTTTCCGACGGCGTATATTTAATTATTTATTTAAAAAATTAAAAACTTTCAGAGTTGTAACAATTCATCAATTTCTTCACTCATGCAAATGATTAAATTCTGAGGTCAATAATTTAAATATCATGACAAAAACAATGTGCATATTAATGTTGGCAAATTAAAAAAAAAAACAAGATTCATATTAAGAGTGTTAAT